TCCTTCCAAAGCTATGCTTTTACTCCCAAATGCACAGCTAAACATGACACGCTACAGCCATAGCCCACAGGCATGCATTTTGGGAAGTGCAGTGGTTGGGGATTGATGGTTCGCCAAAGAAATGGTACTGCGAAGAGTTAATATAATAGGCAGTGTGGGTAAGGACTTGGGGGATATACACAGTTTAAATGCAGAGGGACAGAACATTACTACATAAGATTCCTCCCATTAACCAGCCCAATGACACCCCCAAAAAAAGTTAAATCCTTCGTGGCTGAAATGCAAAACGAAGACAAGATGCTGCTCTGTAGCCACCTTCAGGTTCCCTAAGCATTTGTACATGCATCAGTGTGAAACGTGTATAATATTTTATAGAAATACTTAAAATATCCTACTCTAGACAACTTCATTCTCAGCAGTTGTTGTTACATAAACCAATACTCTACTGAAATAAAAGCACAAAAATCAACAAAACATAACTACACGGGTATTCCTGTGTCACCTTTGACTCAAAGCTCTGTCACGTCAAGATGTCATTTGTTGGGCATGCCCCAGTAGGACTGGGCAGGGCAGGGGCACCTGCAGCCCGAGGTAGGCAGTGGAGAGGTGAAAGAGGGAGAACGGGACGATTTCACAACCTCCAGCTGCAATCAAATGCCGGCTGTTGCCAAAGGGGCTGTGGCACCTTCTCCACCCTACCCTCAACAGTACAGCTGTGACCCCTTCCTCAAGCAACCCCAACTGGCCCAACACCGAACAGCCCGCTCCCTGTGGGGCCAGACCAGCGCACACAGAGACAGGGAGCAGAGGACCACCTGCCTCTGCAGTGGCTTGTCATTGGATTGCCACCTCGTCAAAACCCGGTGCTGCTCCCACAGGAGGCAATGACACGCTCAAAAGCCACCAGAAGTTAAGCCATCGGTTTAACTGCCTAAGAAGCTGGAAAACTCTTGCCTTGAAACAGCCATGTCACCAACATAGAATCATAGAATTGCCCAGGCCGGAAGGGACCTCCAAAGGTCATCTAGTCCGACCTCCCCGCAGTCAGCAGGGACACCCCCAACTAGACCAGGTTGCCCAGGGCCTCATCGAGCCTCTCCTGGAATATCTCCAGGGGAAGGGAACAGGCCCAAGAGCAGAGCTGCTGGAGGAGCGCAGCCCAGGGCAGCTGAGGCAGGACAAGGTCCCAAGTGGTCTGCAGCCGGCAGGTGGTTTAGCACCAGCTCCCGTGACAGTGGTGCACCGAGTGACCGGTGAGGAGGCAGGGTGCTAGCAAGAGGTTTGCTGAGTTATCTTATCCTGGGGTTGTAGGAGGGAAGCCAGCAGCATGGACTGCTGAGGCTAGGCCGTTTCTGCTCCGTCTGAATTGGGTGGCCGTGGGAGCACTGCTGAGATACACCTCAACCCAAGTTAGGGGAGGCTCGGTGTGAGCCAGCCCCCTCTGCTTTTTGCATCTACCTGGGTCTCCCCCATGGAACCGTGCCAGCAGGGCAGTTGGAAGCCAACACATGCTTTGACCTGGATTATTTGGGATCAGGACCTTGGCTTCAGCACATGACACCCAGGAACACCAGGGAGACGCTGCTTTTGCTTTTGAACCATTCCTGAACCTCCTGCTCCCTGAGGCTTGACAGAGTTTGGGGTGTGTGTCATGTCATCGTTGGCCACAAAAACATGAGAGCGTTCCCTCTGTAAGGCCAGGAAGGATAGCCATCCCACTTAATGTACTGCACTTCTCCCCTCCCTTCCCCCTCAACACTGCTGAAAAGCGTAGCAATGAGCTTTATCACAGAGACTGGCTTTAATATTTCATTGGCAAAGCTCTCCAGAATGTAATGTACTTTATTCTGACGCTGTGAAAAATATGACTGAGGTCCAAAAAGGGTATGAATCACAGCTTGCCATAATAACTGCTAAACACATTCTGCCCCCAAAATGAAAGAATTCCTTGTCAGCAATTCTGGCAAGTAGTTTCTTTTTGTGAGACAAAAGGATAAACAATAAATAATATCCCTGATAATTGCAGGGATCTGTGTTGTACTAAGAAGTCCATGGTAACTGGAAGGCCTTGCAATCAATATGCTGGAAGCCTGGGCTGGTGAATTCAATTCCCCATAACTTGGTTTCTCCATCTGTAAAATGCAAATAACAATAATTCCAATCTTTGCAAAGTGCCCTGAAAAGTGCTGTGCATGGGCAATTCACGTGAAATTGTTACACTAATTTAGACAATACAGATGGAATACAAGTATGTATATAACTTGGCCACCTGACACTTTTTTTTTTTTCAATGGGAAGTGTCACTCATTCCCATTCTTCTGAATGGGAAGTGTGATTCTCTGTTTTATTTTCAAGTTTCGTGACTCCCTTCAGGGTGCCTACTTCAGCCTGCAGTGCTTTCCCTTATTAGAATTTTACTGCATGCATGCAGCTTTTTACAGTGAAAGAGCCAAAACTAGTGGGAGAGTGTAACATACCAAGATTAAAAAGCAGTGGGAGGAAATCCGCTTCTTTCTTGAACATTTACTGTGATGTATAGTTATCTCCTTTTCCTCCCCACAAGTGAAGAGGGGGAATCCTGATACTGTTGCCACATCTGTCTCTCCTGCCAGTTATTCCAAAAACTGATTGTTTCAGTTCATCTGTTGTTTAATAAACTACCACATAATGTATTTGTGGGGGCAGGTGTTCAGCAAGCCTAAATCATCATAAAGCATTTATTCATTGTCACTTCTCAAGATCTTATTCCTTGTGCTGAGTATCTGCACTGTTTTTAACATTTTGAAAGTCCATTTTAAAAAGCAAGCTACAGTGAGATGACTGGACTGAAAAAATGAACTCCAAAAATAAGAGCAAAAAACTCTTGCTGAATCTCATAGCTTCCAGTATCCCTGAAAAGAGAGATCACTTTAGCACAGTTTGTAATCCTACAAATCCAGGGATTTTCCTACTTCTTTGTGATATGAGGATGATAAATTGAATAATCCCCACTTCTTGACTTTGCATGCAAATGCATTTGGCAATGCCAAGGCTTCAGCAGCAGTGACTGTCTTCTAGGCGATTGCCTGAAAACTAACAAACATGCAGACTGATACCGAAACTGAACTTTCTTAAAAAAAAATTAGACAAAACTTCTGCTTTGACAATACATTGAGCGTACTATGTTAAAAATAAGTAAATACTCTCTATTTCTTATCTTTTGATCTCGGTTTCTGTAAACCCTGAGCTCACGTTCAGCCATAGGCAGAAAGCATGTCGGCTGTCCATGATCTGTCAGGAACTGATAAGACCCGGGCTGGGTTCCCCTGAAGCGGCGTCACGACTTAGTTCTCAGAGGTGGCAAGACGTGAGATTAAAAGGGTGATTGGTCAGAAATAGCCAGTGGAATGGTTTTCCTCTGAAACAGGGTGATTTGACAGAAAGGAACTGTTTCACCAGAAATAAATAATGAGACCTTAAAATTCATAAGTAGCACTGGGCTTGTTTTCTAACTGTGCTGAGAGGGAGGTCAATGGAAAGGAAAGAGCTTGGATGACTTATTACCCTTTCTTTTAATGTTTCTACTTGATAATAAACATTGCTAAAGCATTTCAAAGCCTGTTTTCTGGGTAGAAGAGATAGCACCCCAATTTGCCATGTTTCCACAGAGCAGAATTCACTCATCATTTGATAAATTCACTGTCGCAAGGCCAAATTTGGCTTTTATTATGTCACTGTGAATGTGCAGTAACCTCATCAAAATAACTTCATCGAAATCAATGATGTTGCAGCAAGCTTTAGAACCCGAAACCGAAGGGAGTTACCACTGTGCTTCAGCAAAAATCAGCTTTCAAGGAGCTGCTCTCAACAGGCAGAGTAGCTGGAAGACCATCATCCCCTTTTGCTTCACACTCCTCTTGCTTTCCCTTGCATTAACGGGTAATATCAACAGAATATTGAGTGTGCCAGAATGAAAGGGCTGAGCCAGCACATGAGGCCAAAGTGGCACAAAGGAGGGCACTTTGCGGAAGGCAGGTCCCCCAAAAAAGGAACTGACAATTCAGAGAGGAGGAACAATGGTAGAGAACGGCTGAGACAAGCGTATAGGATAATTTAGAGGTAGGTTAGCTGCCATGGCAACCATGTACCAAATTACTGCACTTCTGTCTCTCTAAACCTGCCAGCAGCTACTTTTGTTTCTATGTACTTCAGGCTTTGGAAAAAAAAAAAAATGAATCCACCTTAAAACTTATGATGGATTGCAAATGAAGTGCATATACTGGGATTGCTGTGGAGTGCTTGGTTTAAACATTTAGAAAATAGAGAGAGAAAAAATAATAGGCCTTGAAAATTCTGATTTCACTAAGTGGTTAAAAAATACATAATTTTTGTAACATTTATAGCGGTCAGTTCTAACCCTTAATTTATACTCCTTTGACTTGCATGGATTTACCAGGTTAACCTGACACTGTTACCTGTGTATTTAAGAAAGAAATTGGTCCTAGCAGCAGCTCTATTTATTTTTCACTGGGAGAAACTGCCATGTTATAAAAAGAATAAGACATTTTCTTTTAATCCAGGATTCTCTGGAAATATGGTAAAATATTAGATCCTTAAAGGATAGAAACAAGGCTATCAAAAAGCATGCTGCAAGCACGTGTATATTATTAGTTACTAAGAATAGTCCATTGCTGAGTGTGAGTGAAAATATCCAAATGCGTTCCCTTGATAAGCTAGGTATGTATTCGTTACTCTGGGCACATGTCAGAGCGTTCTCAGACAGAAAAAAAATCATGTTATAGTAACCTCTGCTTCCAGTTCAAATATATGTAATCCTAGGAGAACACAGCCTTCGCAACACCTCTGCAGGAAGCCAATAGACCATAATATCCATTGGACTTATACAGTCCACGGAAACTCTTCAGACTAGAAAGAGGTCAGTTTTGAAGTTGCCATTGAAACTTGGTGAACTTCATTGAGGAGTTCAGCCATCAGTTGAGAGCCATGAGGGTCTGACTCACCAAAGCCGGCAGGAATCTTTCCACCAGCCGCAGAAGCAGCTGTGGTCAGCGCCAGGATGTAGTTCCCCATCCTTCCAACCATCACATGATACTCCGTGTAGACTGCGGTATCCAGTCACACAGCCTGCCTCCAACCAAAACACTGGGCAGAGATCTTTATTTTGGTGACATTTCCCCTGTAGCTTCTCTTTAATGGGATATGCCTTCCTCTGTTTGGAAAATGGAAAACGGTTAAAGCTACAGTTCTCTATTATTTTTTTTTTCTCTAAGATAATAGCCCTTAAATGCCGCTTATGAAAAACACAATCCAAATACTTAAATTTCTAATATATTCTCTACGTTATCTACATTCTCCAAGAACATTCAGTTACTCTTGAGGCCATTGCACTGCTGAGCGGTGCAAGTCTGCTGAGCAAAGTATCAGCTGCTGGCAAATTATTATTCCACTGTTGTGGCCCAGTTAAGTACAGATTAACATCCGACGTTGATGTGTAAACCTGCGCTCCACCTCACATGGTGTAAATTCTGGGTCATTGAACTAAAGACATTTTCAAACATTATAATATCCCGTATGCCTTGCCCAGTACAACAGGCACAGTCCTCAGTAAAGTTATGTCACCAAAGATAAGAATTACTAGTCTGAGATGGGTCCTGTTTGCTTTCGGGTTGACAGCTCATCGATCCTCTTTTCAACCAGCATCTTTTTCCATGGGATGAACTACTGGAACTGCTGATACTGTCTTCCTTGTATACAGTCTGTTAACTAAGCTGACATCTGTCTCTTTCTGCACCTACTGGACACCTTGCAGGTGCAGGACGTGTTGCTCATGTCTGTCTCCAAGCTCTTCATGTGTTTCTGTGGTGTTTTGTTGTGGTATTTTGGAGTCTCGGTCACCGGCAACACCCAGCAAGCTTCTAACATGTCAAGGGTTAATTCAGGGTCTCCTTGTGGTCTCTTTTGAGGCTTTTTTGTTTGTTCTCATCCTTTGGTCCTTTGTCTGAGCCTCGATTACATTCAAGACTTGAGACACTGGCTCTCAGGTTGTATACTTCTCTATAGTTTCAGTTTCCTTTGTGACTCCAGGTTAGATCTACCCTCCTGAAGCAACTCTTATAGGTCATAGCAAAGATCCACATAGCTCCACATCTTCTCTCAACAGTGGCAAGTAGTTGACACCTATAAGAAACGGTGAGTACAGAGGGTTCCTTCCCCTTTTATATATTTTAGTTTTTGGCAACAAGCAGGGGTCAGGTTTGTGAGCCAAGGGCACACCCAGTCCCTGGTCTGAAAGTTAAACTAGTGTTTTTATGTTAACATTTACAGTGACTCCAAGATCTCTCTCTTGAGTGACAACTGCACATTCGGAACTGTTTGCACTTTATTAGGGCTGTACTTTCCCCATATGCACTGCTTTGTATTTATCAGCATTGTGTTTTCTCTGCCATTTTACTACCTAGTCAGTTGATAACGTGAGATCTCTGTGCTACTTTCTCAGGCAGCTTTTGTTTTTGACTATGGGAAACAACTTTGTATCATCAGCCACCTTGGCTATCCACCACCTCTTCCAGCCCATTCGTGAATGGGTTGGACAATGCAGGACCTGGCACAGTCTCCTTCCCTTGCCTTCCTCTTGCAACTTCCTTTAATTGTGAAAAATGATCAGTAGGTCCCACCTTTGCTTTTCATCTTCTAACCAGTTACTAATCCACAAAAGGACCTTCCTTCAAACTAAGGCTTTTTAACGAGCCTTCTGGGGTTTGAGGAATCCTGTGAAAAGGTTTCTGAAAAATACCAACATACAAATGCTGGGGGAAATTGGAATGGGGAGAAGGGTGGGGAGCAAGGAGATGTATTTGTCTCTGAGACCAGAAGGCTTTTAGTCTTCCTTATGTCTAAGCTTCCCCTTAACCTGAGAAAATTGTATAGCCTGCCAGAGCACTACTTGCGAAAAAGCGTTATATTTCCTCCAAATTCCTTCTGGCAGCGCTGATGACACAGCCTGAATGTTTCTGCTTATCAGTAGCCTTACTAAGTTTTGTTTCATTAACTCACGTCTTTCACCCTGGTTCTGTAAGCAAAAATACTTTTGTTTCTTCATTGTGAACAACTGCATTTTGTTCAGAAAGAGTCAAACCCTCCTGGAGGGAATGCAATAGTCAAACTCTAGTTAGACTTGGGTAGGGTTAGTGCAAATTTACACTGAAGTCCACGAAGGCACAGTCAGGGTTTGTATTTTTACTGCCTTACAGGAAGAGCTTATGCTGCCAGTGAAGTCAAAGAAGCTTTGTCATTGATTTCAGTAGGAACAGGAACACCATTTGTCATAAAAGATTCACTTGACCTAATCCTTTTGTAAATAAAGAAATAAGACATTTCAGGAAATTTCACAGTGTCTTGTTTCATTTGATGATTATTTCACCTACTTTGATGGTTACTTTATTTGTCGTCTGGCAGAAAATGAAACTCATTTAATACTCTTTTATATCCGAGTAGAGCTATAATGCATGTAGATGGGCTTGTATTTAGGAGTGGTGCCAACACTGAGTAATTTTAATATATTATATAGTTGATAATATCTGACCAAATATTCTAGAATAAGTCATTATAGAAATGAAGGTAGGTTTCCTGTGTGGCTTACAATATCATACTAAAATACAAAAGAAACCTGACTAGGTTTCAGTTATGAAATAATAGATACTGAGCCATTTTCAGATTTGTTCCATATTGCCAAAGTGTTTAGGCAGGTGTGTTTCACAAAGTTTGTGAAACAAAAGCTCAGCTGAAAGCAAATCAACATTAGGAAGCAAAACCAGTGCTGAGTGATAGTGCTTAAAAACTGAGAATCAAGAGTGGTTTTAAACAGCAACTGAAAAGATGCTTTGATGTTTTTTAAGCACTCCCTTATACTCTAAAAACATGTTACAGTTTTCTGCAATTATGTGCAAGACGTTGCATCTTGTATTAGTATTACTTCTGTAGTCTGGATTATACCCATCAAACATTAACTTTTTTCTTGTAATATGAGCATGTCAACAGTTTTTAAAGATTAGGAAAAAGTGTTCATGAACCTAACTGCTAAAAACCATTATTTTTTTCCCAGAGCATTGTCTTATGTATACAAATGGGGGAAAATGGCAATGAACCTAAAAGCCTCAGTATCTTCACATGACCAGCAGTTATCCTGTCGGCCTGTAGGAACAGGGAACACAAGGGTAGGCCAAATACCGTTCACTGAATTGGAGTGGTCTGTAATCAATATCTTGAACTCAACCTCAGCTGAGAAGGTTCTCTGCCTTTGCACGGCAAGCTGAAGGCCTTCCACCACCACACAGAACAAGAGGTCTCCCTCGGAAACACGACAAGGCTCAGCGGTAGCACAGCCACAAGTATTTGGGTCAAAGACTGCTATGGGAGGCAAAGGTGGACAACGTGACCTGAGGGGAAATTAAGAAAATCTGAAGAATTCTAGCTGATTTTACCTAAGTCCCTAGAAGCTTGAATTCATTTGAATTCACTAGAAGCAAATCACTTCAAGCCTTTTGACAGCAGGGCTTGTATTGTGTAGCTCTCTGACATGACTTAGGAAGATAAGACAGGAACAATGCAGAGTTATTAACATGAATAATTTTCCATGCAAATTGGAAGCGCCACAGAACAATAGGATGGCTGTGGCTTAATGGCACCAGGTTCTCTGCAGGGCTGAACATAAAATATCACAGTAGGAATAGAAATAACAAAGACAAAAGCAAAGACTAGAGCAAAACTGCTTTCAAAAATGAGCAGGGGCAGCTGGACTACAAGACCCCTTTTCCTGGAAGTGCTTGCAGAGATTCAGTGCCCAGAAAACGTGCCTGAAAAGCCAGAGCTAAAAGCAACTGCAGATTTGCTAGACCTGAAGAACTTCATGAACCCAGCACATGAATCTAAACACCTTCCCCAGATTCACCTGCATTCCACATCTTGGGGCCAGCAGGATTATGACAGGTGCATTTGCAAATCTATAGCATCTATATTAATCAAATATGTTGGCATCTTCAATACAGGAAACAGAGAAGCAGCATAAAGAGATGAGCAAATTAACATGTCCACGTGTCGCTTTGTGCATTGTCTTTTCTGAAAGAAGAGTCTTCAGTAGAAAGGAGGTAAGAAGGAGGAGGGCTGGTGGAAGTCGTAGGTACTGGGATACACCTCCCCTTGGGTAGGTAGCTGCTGCTGTGACTTCCCCAAGACATATTTCACTATGTGGGTTGCTACAGCTCACAGCTGAGCAGCAGGTCTGCCAATCCCAAGAAGCTCAAGGGAAAACAAGGTTCACAGAGGAAAGAGATAGCATCAGTTCCACTGGCTCTTTTGTCCTGTCCTTGCTGAAGCTTCCTCCGCTTATACATAACTGACACCCACAGGAGTGACCATACATAAGAAAAGTACTTCCATTTGATGTTTTGGTGGACAATCTAGGTAGCAGCAGGATGCTCTCTGAAACACGCAGAGCCCTTTTGGTTTACTCACTCTGATAGTGGGGATTATTTTAAAACACAAGTGACAGGAAGTAATGATTTCTGCAGCTCGTCAGGAAGCAGAAGGTGGCAAAGCACTGACTCTCGAGGAACAGGAGCTATGACATCCTGTCCATGCTGCACATTCAGCGCCTCTCCACCCCTAAAAGAAATTTGAAATAGACCTACTATAAAAGGGGTTGATTATGCTGAGTCAAATCAAACTACCTGTCTGTCTTTGTCAGGAAACCAGAAGGTGACAGCCAGCTCCGGACCAGCAAGTGCAACTTTTATTGAAATCAATACAGCTGTATCCCCTGGCCCTAAGTCTGAAAGTTTTCTGACAAATTGCTGACATAGAAGAGTTCATTTGACCATTTCTAGTACGGAGGGAGGGAGGGAGGGAGGGAGGCAGGAAGGAAGGAAGGAAGGAAGGAAGGATGGATTTTGATCTCTGTGCTGGTAGTCACCAGCTGCACCTTCAATGCATACTTGATTCTCTACTGAAAACTTTGATACTAAA